AAATCTTTAAAAAAAATGACAGGACCAAAGTACCATCCATACAAATTAAACTCTGAATGTAAATGGCTTAAGTTCAATCAAACGTCATAGATTAGTAGACTGGATTAAAAAACAAAACCCATCTATTTATTGTCTAAAAGAGACACACTTCACCAACAAAAATCAGCAGAAACTATATCACATGGGTTTTATTGTTTTCTGTTGGTTTCATCGCTTCAAAACATTTTCTTCTGATTAAATCATTCAATGACTCGTAGATAACATAGTAGCATCGTTTTCTTCAAGAAGGTTCTTGATTTTCATTTCTTCAGCTACACGTTAGTCATTTAGTAGCATGTTATTTAACTTCATGGTGTTAATTCCTTTTTCTCCCTGGTGTTGATTTTGTTTTGTGGCTTTTCATTTAAGGGGATATATAGTAGCTGTGTAATGGAGACTGTCATATCTAGTAACATGTTATTTAACTTTATGGCATTGTAAATTTCTATTTTTCTTTCTATTGTTGATTTTGTATTATGACTTTACACTTAAGGGGGTTTACGGTAGCTGTGAAATGGAGACTAATATCCAAATGTGAGGATACAATGTAGTATGCATCTCTGCTTCCAGACAAAGATGGACTTACAATGAAACTGTTCACTATATCTTGACAATAGGATGCTGGACTCTCTGCCATTGTCCATGCCCACAATGATGGACATATGATTGTGTCTGAAGAACTGTATGTTAGTAATGACACAGAGGATCTAGGTGGGGGGAGGGAATTGGGAAGGGGATAAGGAGAATGCCAGGAGCCTATGGAACTGTATTATAAAATGATAATAATAATAAAATGTAAAAAAAAGATTTCTTTATTGGAAGGGCAGAGTGGAGAATCCTCCATTTGATGCTTCACTCCCCAAATGGCAGCAATATCCAGGGCTGGGTCAGGCTGAAGACAGGAGATTAAAGCTTCCTCTGAGTCACCCACAGGGGTGCAGGGATCTGAGCACTGGAGTCATCCTTCTGTTGCTTACCCATGTGCACCAGCAGGGTGCTGGATTGGAGCTGGAGCAGCCGGGACTCAAATTGGTACCCACATAGTTTGCTAGCATTGCAGGTGGAGGTCCAGCCCACTATGCCACAATGCAGGCTCTAGATTATTGTTTTAAGGTTATTTTTTTGCACAATTTAAAGCAGAGGGAACACCCTTTCCAAGTCAGCCCAAACTGGCTTGTTTGGGGATATAGCTATTAGAAAATCAGAAAAACAAGTTAGTTTTGTGCCTTCATTTGGGTTGGTCATTTGGACCTATGGTTGAGAAGATAGCTGTCATTAGCAATGAGTTGTGATGGGTCATGGTAGCAAATGAAAGAATCAGTATGGGGTTGCTATTTTCCACTGAAAATGAGACTCCTACCTGAGATAACTCGGTGTGAAGAACAATTTGTTGAATGGTTTCCTCATGTTTCAGTGCATTAGGGTGATTCTTGAACTGGCAATATGTACTAAGGACACAGAAGTTACTTTCGTTTAAAAATGTAATGATGGGCTACAAATTTGGTATAGTGGGTTAAGCCACCATTGGGTCACTGGTATCCCATCTCAAATATTAAAGTGCTAAGTTGGATTCTTGGGTGGCTCCACTTCCAATCTAACCTGCAGCATTGGCAGAGGATAGTCGAAGTACTTTAGCCCCAGCTACCCATGTGGAAGACTTGGAGTGAACTGGCTCCTGGCATCAGCCTGGCTCAGAGTTGGCTATTGCAGCAATCTGGAGGAATAAATCAGCAGACATCAATCTTTGTATCTCTGCCCCTCTATCTTTGAAATGAAATCAACACAACACAGGGAGAGAGCCTCTGACAAAGTGGTTATGATGTCATTTGGAATACCCACATCACATATTGGAGTGCCTGATTTGAACCCTATCTCCTCCACTGGTGTAGCTTCCTGAGTGAGTCCCTGCCATCCATGTGAAGGCCCACACCAAAATCCAAGTTCCCATCCTGACTCAGTCCTGGCTGTCTCAAGTATATGGGGGACAGAAACTCTCTTCTGTCTCTATTGTCTGCTGTGGGGTGTGAGAGAAATCATGCTAGATAAGTCTAGAATGTATTAAGGAGTCTTTTAAAAATTTTTATTTATTTTTATTTTAAAGATATACAGAGAGGAGGAGAAAAAGATCTTTTGCCTGCTGATTCACTCCACAAGCGGCTGCAATGGCCAGAACTGAGCCAATCTGAAGCCTCCAGGAGCCAGAAACTTCTTCCAGGTCTCCCACGTGGGTGTAGGTCCCAAGGCTTTGGGCTGTCCTCGACTGCTTTCCCAGGCCACAAGCAGGAAGCTGGATGGGAAGCGGGGCTTTCGGATTTGAACTGGCACCCATTTGGGATCTTGGCTCATTCAAGGTGAGGACTTCAGCTGCTAGGCTACTGCATCAGGGCCTTAAGGAGTCTTTATTAACCAAGCTTGGTGATAACAGGGCCCACTTGAAATTAGCAAGTGACAAGTCCACGTGGCAATACAGTCTGAGTCGAAATCATGAGAGGAACAAATGGTTATTACCACTAAGTCTGTCTGTTAAGCTGAAGACCTATGTTACAGCTTCTCCAGCAATATAAGTTATCTTGAGAGACATGCAGAGAACAACTTGGACACATTTAGAAAGCTGTAAACATTCATCTTTTCCTGGCTTCTCTGTCCACATTTCATTATTGCTAGGCCTCATCTCTCTGGGAACTTTTGAAAGTACACAAATTAGAAATACAAAGCATCTTAGCATTAACATCTTCACTGAGTTGCCCAAGCAGTGAACAGAGGGTAAGGAATACAGACATACAGGGGCCATACTCAGGGGGTACCTGTCCTCGGAGTCTGCGGCAAGCTAGAGAGCAAGCAGGTACTGGGGAGGTTAAGAGTCGAAGTGCCAGAGTGATGGAAGCATGTGACCAAGAAAGCGAGCCCCTCCCCATCGTGGGCCTTTATAGGGGATAGTGAAGGAGTGGGCTACACAACAATGCAATACCCTGCCCCCTCAGGTTCCAGGTGATGATAGGTGAGCATCACATGCGGGCAGAAAGAACTATATGGGTGGAGAAGGCACAACTTCCAAGGTCATGACCTTGACCTAGCTGCCTAAGAGCACACCTGTGTTTCCCACCAGCTTCCTCCCATCTCTGTCTTTCAAATCAAATGAAAATAAGAAATCTGGTTAGCACAGGATTTATTTTATTCATATTTATTAAAGCTCATGAGGGGATTGTCTGAGCCTTAAGTTTTTGTGGCAATGAAAATGGAGTACATAAAACTGGTTGGTAGTGAATGTAAAGAACTTTTGAAAATATTTATTTCACTTGAAAGGCAGAGTTAGGACAGAGAGGCAGAGAGAAGAGAATCATTGAGCTATTGGTTCAGTCCCTAAATGGGCAAATACAGGCACCCATACAGAATGGTGGCATTGCAGGCAACGGCTTAACTCACTGCACTACAGCGCCAATCCCAGGTAAATACTTAAAAAAGTTATTTTATTGGAAAGTCTGATCAGATTTACACAGAGAAGGAGAGACAGATCATCTATCTGCTGCTTTACTCCTTTCAGGGCCGCTAAGCCAATCCAAAGTGAACAGCCAGGAGCTAGGAGCTTCTTCCAGGTCTCCCACACGCGTGCAGGGGCCCAAGGCTTTGAGCTATCCTCATCTGCTTTCCCAGGACACAAGCAGGGAGCTGTATGGGAAGTGGAGCAAACAGGACACGAACTGGCACCCATATGTGATCCCGGTGCGTGCAAGGTGAGGATTTAGTCATTGAGCCATTGCACTAGATACAATACTTTTAAAGTACTAATATAGATGAAAGAGTATCTTTCCTGTTCAGTCAATAAATTTACTTATTACTGTGAAAGGAATGTGAAAGTTGTTAGAACCAAAGTGGAGTCACCTGCTGGCAACTAAAAAAATATATATTAATGAAATGAAGTAAGGAGGTTCAGAAGAATGGTTTATACAGTCTATTGGCTGATATAAGCTATCATAAAGGATGCTGCCAGAACCACATTACACAGAAGCTATCACAACCGTGCACAGAAAGTATTTCCTACAAGGACATTGCCTGGCAACTGTCTATCCAATTTGGGATTAAAGTCACCTGAGTCATTAACAACTGTGGCCAAAGATTGTTTTTTCAAAATACGCGATGAAATCCTCCTCATCTGCCTTTAAACACTTAGCCTGGCCTCGACCTCCCTGGGCTTGAACACACCCAGAGTTTAGCATGGCACGTATATTCACTTTGCAGTGTTTTCATGAAGAAGCATCATTCTCTTCAGAAAGTCTGTGCATGGCTGGGTATTGTTTGTTTTTATTTAGGTTGATATCATGAGAGAATGGCCAGGGAGGAAATGACAACAGTGGGAGACAAGATCAAGACAGAAGGAAACAGAGATAAATAAGACAGTCCGGTGTGGACTACAAACCTTGTTTAAACTGGCAAGAATAGCGCCGCGCCCCTCTCTCTTAACTCAAGGGCTGACTGGCAGGGACAAGCCTGCCCAGGCTCCCGGAAGGTAAACACATCGCAGGGGGTGGGGCCGAAGGCGGGTTCGAAATGGGTGAGTGGTCAACCGTGAGTGATGGGCAGCTGCCATGTCCACGTGCTTTGGGCTTCGAACCAGCTGTCGCGAGAATTCGATGTAAATACACCGGTCTCCCTTCCTCAGGTACCAAGCCTGAGGCGGACTGGCGAGGTACACTGGCTTCTGGGGCATTTTGCTTTTTGGAGACAAAGCCAAGAACGTGCTGTCAGCAAAGAAAATGAATATGTTTGTCATTCCTCCCCAGTGGCCTGTGTTCGCAACCGAACTTACATATTGTTGTGTTTTCCTCTCAGCCCCAGCGGATTGGCTAACTCCAGGAGGCGGGTCAGCTTCGAGTCTACTTGCTGGTTGGAGAAGCTGACCTCTAAGGGCGGTGCCCGGCCTTGGCCAGTTGGCGCCTGCGATTGGCTCGCGAGCTGGTTCCGCCGAGGCGTGGTAGGAAGTGGGAACCGTCAATCACGAAGGGAGACTCCAAACAGTGAGGCTTGAGCTGGAGCGCAGCGTTTACCGGCGGGGCGGCCGGTGAGAGGGCTGGTGGGGCTTGGGCTTGAGGGGAGGCTTGGCGAGGACGAGTGACGAGCCGCGTGAGAGGACAGGGTTTGGCCGGCAGGAATTCGACGACTGAGAGGTGTCGAGAATGGAGGGGGGAGGGGAGGAGGGCAAGGGGCCAGAGGGCGGCCGGGGGCAGCGCGGCTAGGCATTGGAGGTGAGGTGGCGAGCGCCGGGCGACTCTCTGAGCAGACAGGGGCCTGAGCGGTTGGTGAGGGGTAGCCCTCAGGAAACGGGGCCCCTCAAGGACAGCTCTTGAGAGGTAGTGGTTCAAGGAAGGAAGAGTGGAAGGGACCTGTCAGGGCTGAGGGGGCCGGTCGCGAAGGTTCCTCCTGAGGAGCTGAGGTGGTCGCGGGGCCGGTTGGGCGGAAGGTGTTCTGGTTGTAGGAGGAGGGTCTCGCCAGTTTGACGAGTTTTCACAGGAGGTGATTGAATGTTCTCTTCTCAGAAGGGATGGCTGTAGACTTATTCAAGACTAGTGTCAGGGTTGCTCGTTCTTGAGCTCTGTGAAGAGGCCTCTGGAATTTCTGTCAGTTCTCTTTTTAACCTCAAGCCAGTGGAGTTCAGGCACCCAAAGCCTTTCTAGTGATTCACACGCTGGTAAGACCAGTCAGGGACCAGGGTTTAGAGAAGGGATAGGAGAGTTTAAGGGGCTTCTCACTCATGAAAGTACCTTATGCATTTGCTTGAATGACAGTGATTAGGTTACAATAGCAAATGATTAAAAGAACAAATAAACATTTGTATCGTGGCTAGGCAGGGTTGCTCACAGATCCCCAGCAGGTTTAGTTGAGAAATTGATAGGTATCATGTCACTGCCTCAGTTTGCTTTTGTGGTATTGTACCATGTGTATTTCCACCATTTCAATAAAAAATTCCAGTTATTTGCATTATGGTTTACAAAAGGTAGCACCTGTGTTTTCCTGTTGGATCTTATGCTGCTGTTTTTACATTAATGAAGTCTGGTTACATTAACAGAGGCTTTAATAAGAGCCTTGACTAGTTCTGTGGTTTGAGACTTGGTGACATGTAAAAATGTCTTGATTGTGGGAACATTTTAAAGACCTAATTCTTCCAGTATGTTTCCCTTTCTGGTACAGTAGACATTGATTGAGAAAGTTTCTCCCATTTAAGGCCTTTTTGGCAAGGAGTTTCTAGGGAGTAACCATAAGACTTTACCCTTGTCTCCACAATAATGATTTTTTTTTTCTTTTTCTCTGGAAACAGGTTTTATGAATGAAGCTATGGCTACAGATTCTCCTCGAAGACCCAGTCGATGTACTGGTGGGGTTGTGGTTCGACCTCAGGCTGTCACGTAAGTATATTTCACACTCATCGAATAGCCTGAGAATAAATGATACACAATAATAACCTTTACCTTTTTGTTTTGAATGCTGCTTACTTTTGCAAGTCTTTGCAGTTTTGGCTTATAAAATGCACAGAATGAGTAAATAACATTGTCAATGCCAAATGAAAGGAATAATAGTGAGAGGGTGAAGTATTCAACGCATTTGTGAGGTGCTATACTAAACCCTGAGGAGTAATGCTTTCCAAAATATAAGTTGAACAAATGTGTAGGACATTAAATCAATTTAGTAGGTTCAGGACTAGGGTTTGCTTTTTAAAAATTATTATTATTATTTTAAAAAATTATTTATTTTTCATTATAAAGTCGTATATACAGAGAAGCGACAGAGAGAAAGATCTGCCGTCTGATGATTCACTTCCAAAGTGAGCACAACGGCTGGTGCTGTGCCGATCCAAAGCCAGGAGCCAGGAAGTTCCTCCAGGTCTCCCATGTGGGTGCAGGGTCCCAAGGGTTTGGGCCATCCTCGACTGCTTTCCCAGGCCACAGGCAGGGAGCTGGATGGGAGGTGTGCCCGCTGGGATTAGAACCAGTGCCCATATGGGATCCCGGCATGTTCATGGCGAGGACTTTAGCTGTTAGGCCGTGGTGCTGGGTCCTTGCCTTGAATTCTGTCAGGTTCTTCTATATGAGTGACAGAGTGCAAGCACATGGACCATCCTCTGCTGTCTTCTTTCTTTCTTTTTTTTTTTTTTTTTTTAAGATTTATTTACTTTTATTGCTAAGTCAGATATACAGAGAGGAAGATCTTCTGTTCGATGATTCACTTCCCAAGTGACCACAATGGCCAGTGCTTCACCGATCTGAAGTCAGGAGCCAGGAACCTCCTCCAGGTCTTCCAGGCGGGTGCAGGGTCCCAAGGCTTTGGGCCATCTTTGACTTTTCCCAGGCCACAAGCAGGAAGCTGGATGGGAAGTAGAACAGACAGGATTAAACCGGCACCCATATGGGATCCTGGTGTGTTCAAGGTGAGGACTTTAGTCGCTAGGCCACCGCACTGGGCCCCTCTGCTGTATTCCTACGTATACATATCAGCCGAGAGCTGGACTTAGACTTGTACAGGATGCTAGCATTACAGGTGGTAGCTTAACTCACTTTTTTACAATTTTGGCTCCAGAACTAAAGCTTTAAAAAGTGAAATAGAATACAAAATGTAGTTGGGAGTGAGTATGACTTTATTACATACACAGATATATTCACACATATTGTATGTTTCCAAGATGGTGATGTAAAATATGTCCTCTGCTGTTGGTCTCAGAGTTCTAAATGCAGTTCTGCAACTTAGATATTCTTTGTTGGAGAATTAGCTATACTTTATTGGACTTAATAGTCCAATGTGGTTTGAAGGTTTGAAATGATCAGAAAAGGTTTTATTAAGAATTTAACATTCAGTGTGCATCTTTAAACGGAAAATTGAATTCGGGCACTTCAGGTCAATTATACATTTTGGCAAAAGGAATATGGTGAGAAGCTACGGGAAAGGTGGGCTGCCTTTACAAATGCTCCTGAGGAGAATTGTACTATTTTGGCTCATTTTCTTAGTGATGTTTTCTGACATAGAGAAATACTGACTTCTCAGAGTCCAACATGTAACACGGAATGTTTCTTGTACAAATTAATTTTATTTGACTTGAAAGGCAGATTTTCAGAAAGAAAAGGAGAGAAAAGAAACAGGGATAGACAGAGATAGAGAGAAAGTCAGTTTGCTGGCTCACTCCCCAAATGCTGCAGGGGCTGCAGTTGGGACAGTCTAAAGCCAGGAAGGAGCCTGGAGTTTCTTCCAGGTCGCCTGTGTGAGGGCCTGAGAATTTGGGCCATCGTCTGCTGCTTTCCTTGGCATGCTAGTGGGGAGCTGAATTGGATGTAGAGCAACTGAGACTCAAGCCAGTGCCCATATGTGATGTCTGTGCCACAGTCTGAGGCTTAACCTGCTAAATGTGGTACCAGCTGTACAATGTGGTATTTAAAAAGAGGCTATTTTATGATAATATGTTTTTTTGCCTGCTAGATTTCCAAAACTATGTTTATTTTCTAACTGTGGATTATGGCAATGAATGAAATATATTAAGTGGTGAATTAGATCCTATTTTAATCTTCATTTTACTGATGAGGAAACCAAAGCAGAGAGAAATTTTTGTTGTACTTGATAGTAGCCAAGAAGGGGAGCTGGGATCAAAGCCAGGCAGCTTGTCTCTTACGTGTGGGCTGTTATGTGCTACTCTGTGCTGCCTTACCATACAGCATTCTTTATAGTTGTTTTTCTTTTTTTTTTTTTTGAGGATTTTTTAAAAAGTTACTTTGTGGGAGCTCAGCACAGAGGCCTCGTAGCTAAAGTCTTCAACTTGTATGTGTCCAGATCCCATATGGGTGCTGGTTCAAAGCCTGGCAGCCCCACTTCCCATGCTGCACCATGCTTGTGGCCTGGGAAATCAGTCGAGGAAAACCCAAGGTTTTGGGACCCTGCACCCACGTGGGAGGTCCTCAGGGGTTTCTGGGCTCTGGGCTCCTGGCTTCAGATCTTCCTCTCTGTCTCTCCTCCTCTCTGTGTATCTGCCTTTCCAATAAAAGTAAATACATCTTTCCTTAAAAAGTAACTTTCATTGGAAAGGCAGTTTTTCAGAGAGAAGGAGTTGTAAAAATCTTCCATCCGCTGATTCACTCCTCAAGTAGCCACAGTGGCTGGAGTTGAGCCAATCTGAAACCAGGAGCCAGGAGCTTTTACTGGGCATGGAGCTAGAAAGGAAGTGGAACAAATGGGATATTAACCTACACCTAAATGGGATCCTGGCACATGCAAGGCAAGGAGTTAGCTACTAGGTTGCCATGCCAGGTCCATAAGTTGCTTGTGTGTGTGTGCGCAATACTTAAGTTTAGTGGTTTATAAAAAAATCTCATTAACTCATTGTTCTTTTAGCAAATGATGTTTCTCATCTACTCCATGTCTAAGAGCTGGTGTGTTGATTTTCGAGATCAAAGAAAAATTTGAGAGATTTTTTCCTTCCTGAGATGCAGCTTATATTTTAGTGGATGAAATAGGAAATAAGTAAATAAGTAGCTACAGGTTGTGATCCATGCATTGTGTGCTGTGATGCAGAATAACAAGGGAGTGTGTATTTTCTTTTTAGATTTTTAACATTGTTTACATAGTTGAGAACACATCTCCATGTGGATCTCTGATTAGGGTGGGGGAGGTCAAAGTATGGAAGAAGGTGGGTGAAACAAATGTTTCAGTTTTTATTCCTGTGTCCAAAAGGAAGGAAGGGGAGGAGGCTACTGTTTACTGTAAATCTACATAAGCACCTGGGAATGGAGTGACAGTCCTTTGCTGATACCTTAAAGACCCCTATGTGAGGAAGAGTGTTCCAAGGGTGTTAGTTGAGTGGTTTTGATAGTTTTGAGGCATAATTGGCTTTGTTGTACCTGGTTTGAGAAAATCAAGGTTTAATGGCTGACCAAGTCCTTCTTAGTGTGCATCTATAGACCCAGGAATGTGATGTAAAGCTTGGCCAGGAGAGTGGTCCAACCTGTTCTGCTTTCCATTCCTTGATGAGGCACTTGACATCCTCTGTTGGCCTAGATGACTGGCTGTCACGGCCCCTATGTGCTTATGGGCGTGTTGTTCACCACATAGGCATCAGCAACTGAGGAGCTTTAGTACCAATATATACATTCCAAGGTTGGACCTTATGTGTTGTGATTTTCCCTGTGGCTGGGATTTGAGTCCAGCAATCTAGTTGGGGAGTCTCCCAAGAAACACTGCCTGGGATAACTTCAGACTTGACTTGTGTATGCCAGCCATTGCAAGCTCAGGTGTTGTCGGTTACTTGCACCAGGCAATCGACATATCAGTGGATGCATTTAAATGGTCAGTTCTGCACCCAACCCCTTCTCTCATGTGAACTTATATGTGCTGTGGCCTAGCCCATCCCAGCCCACTACAGATCGGGTCTTCATGCACCAACAAGGTGCTGTGACCACTACCCTGATAGTTCCCACTAGGCCCACCTCCAGCCCCAGTTTTTGTGTGCATTGGCATGTGTTGTGGCCTAGATGGGTCTGTCCTGCATCCTGTCTGGCTCTTTTGCATACCTGTGGGTGCTGCACCTTAGCTCAGCCTAACTAACCCCCAGATCTGGCCCACATAGATGCCAGTGGATGCTGCTGCCTTTACTAGCCTTGCCTGTCCCCAACCATGGCTCTCATGATCACCAGCAGGAACTGTAGCCCAGCAGGGTAGTGCCCACAGTTTCCTTGCTAGTCCTGTTCTCAGCCCTGGATCTTGTGTCTACCAGTAGGTACTGTAGTTCAGCCAGTCATAACTTGGCACACAATCATAGCATTTGGCAGCAGGTGCTGCAGCCTAACCTGGCTGAAATGTACTTATTCTGGCTCTCGTGTGCAGCATTGGGTCAGCATCCTAGCCCAGACTGGCCTGCTTCCAGACTGGCCCACTCCCATTCCCAGTTTTCACACTCACCAGTGTGAAAGATCTCCAAAGATCACTACCAGGTTTGTTTCCAGCCCTGAGTTTTGCAGATACTAGCAAATGCTGTGGCCCAGTCTAAGATGGTTCACCCCTCAATTTGCGTTTGCCAGCAGGTGCTACAGCCTGGCTCAGCCTGTCCCACTCCTATTCCTTGCTCCCACTGACAGATATAGCAGCCTAACCAAACCTAGTCCACTCTCAGCCCTCTTTGAACTAGCAGATGTTTTGATCCAACCCAACCTGGCCTGCACCGTGTTTTGGCTCTCAAACGTACCAGTGTATGCTGTGGGCTGGCCTAGCCCAGCTTGTCCCCAGATCCAGCTCACACATATGTTGATGGGTGCTGCTGCCATGACCAGCCTGGCCTGACCCCAGTTATGGTTCTTGTGCTCACCATTGGGAGCTACAGCCAGCAGGGAGTGCCCATAGTTCCCCTACCAAACCAACTCTCAGCCCTGGATCTTAATGCCTGCCAGCATATATTGTGGTACAGCCTGATGTGACTTGTACCTAGCTTTGGCATTTGGCAGGAGGTGCTGTGGCCTAACCTAGCTGGAACATATCCATTTTGGCTCTTGTGTATGCCGGTGGGTACAGTAGACTAACTCAGTCTTGGCTATCTCATCCCATCTCATGCTCATCAGGGGATGTAGCAGCCCAGCAGGAGAGTTCCTGAAGTTTCCATAGCAGGTCTGCCCCCAGGCCTAGGAGCATGCCTTTGATGGTCTGGGAAGCCCTCTCTGAGAAGTAGTATCTCCCAGAGATGTGAGAAAATGAAGGATGGATGAAGGAATCAAGCAGAAAGAATAAGTAAAAGATGAGCTTGTTATAGTATAAGACATTTTTCTGTTTTTCTTTTTTTTTTTTTAAAGAATTATTTATTTTTGTTTGAAAGGTAGACTTACAGAGATAGAGTTAGGGAGACAGAGGTAGATCTTTCATTGCTGATTCATTCCCCAAATGGCTCTTTTTTTTTTTTTTTTAAGATTTATTTTATTTTTATTGCAAAGTTAGATATACCAAGAGGAGGAGAGACAGAAAGATTTTCCATCCAATGATTCACTCCCCAAGTGACCACAACAGCCAGTACTGTGTCGATCTGAAGCCAGGAGCCGGAGGTCTTCCAGGTCTCCCACACGGGTGCAGGGTCCCAAAGCTTTGGGCTGTCCTCGACTGCCTTCCCAGGCCACAAGCAGGGAGCTGGATGGGAAGTGGAGCTGCCGGGATTAGAACTGGTGCCCATATGGAATCCTGGTGTGTTCAAGGTGAGGACTTTAGCCGCTAGGCCACCGCACCGGGCCCTCCCAAATGGCTCTTACTAGCCAGGGTTGGACAAAGCCAAAGTCAGGAGCTTTAAGCTTCCTCCAGGTCTCCCATGTGGGTATGGGGCTCGAGTATATGAGTCATCTTCTGCTCCTTTCCCAGATACATTAGCAGGTAGCTGGATTGGCAGTGAAGCAGTTGTGAATCATTGCCCATATGGGTTGCTGGTGAAATAGGTGACAGCTTACCATGCTAACATGGTAAACCAAAACATCAGCTGTTATAGTATGTGAATTGATGTTGTGTTGCATGTGACTGAAGAAGAGTAAGTTAAAGAAATAATGAAAAAGTGAGACTGGAGAGGTGGACCTAATTTTTTTAAAGGAAGGACTTATCAGATTTTGTATACCTAGGGTAAATCTTTTAGAAGATTTATCATTTCTTTGACAAGCAAAGGGTCAGGGTTGGAGAAAGACAGAGATCTTTTATCAATGTTTTACTCCCCAGATGGCTTCAATAGCTAAGGCTGGGTCAGTCCAAAGTCAAGAGCCAGAAGCTCCATCCACAGCTCCTGCATGGGTGGTAGGGGCCAACCACTTGAGCCTTCATCAGTAGACTTCCAAGGCAGACTCATAGGAAGCTGGATTGAATTCAGGGTTCAGAACTCAAATTAGCATTCCTGTCGGGGCTGCGGTCTAAGATTTAGGTGGCCCAATCTGTAAAGCCACAATGTTTATGCTGTTATTTTTTATAGGGTTTAGGATAAGTGATATTATATTCTTCAAGTGTAATTTCTAACTTTTCTCCTGAGATGAATTCAATTTAGTTTTTTGAAGAAACTGTTCTTCACTTGATATCCATACACTTCTTAATTAGTGTCATTAACTCTTCACCTTCATGTATTTTAAGATTTCTTGGGCCTTGCACGGTGGCCTAGTGGCTAAAGTCCTCGCCTTGAACATGCCGGGATCTCATATGGATACCGATTCTAATCTTGGCAGCCCCACTTTCCATCCAACTCCCTACTTGTGGCCTGGGAAAGCAGTCAAGCACAGCTCAAAGCCTTGGGACCCTGCATCCATGCGGGAGACCTGGAAGAGATCCTGGCTTCGGAACGGTGCAGCACCGGCCGTTGCGGTCTTTTGCAGGATGAATCATCGGACGAAAGATCTTCCTGTCTCTCCTCCTCTCAGTATATCTAACTTTGCAATAAAAATAAATAAATCTTTTTAAAAAAAGATTTCTTCATCCCATATCTGTACAAATAATTGTCAGAAATTTAATTAAATTTGGTAGTTTGGGGCATGAACCTATGATATGAAAGAGATCTCTCTCCATTTCTTTTCACTGTAACATTTGAATAAATAAATAGTTTTCAAATTTTAAAAAAGAAGTTAGAGAGTGAGCTTTCTTCTATTGTTTCATTCCCCAAATGCCCACATTGGCTGGCAAGGGGAGGCGCCTAGGCGAAGCTGGGAGTATGAGGCTGAAATCAGTCTCCTTCATGGATGATAGGAACTTAGTCAAGTGGTAACCTCTGCTTTGTGAGGGTCTGCATGAGCTTGAAGTCAAATCCTAGCGCTCCAGTGTGGCATAGGACTTCTTAAGCAGCTTTTTTCCCCCTAAGATTTGTTTTATTTTTATTGGAAAGTCTGATATACAGAAAGGAGATACAGAGAGAAAGATCTTTTGTCCGCTGATTCACTCCCCAAGTTGCCACAATAGCCAAAGCTGAGTCAGTCTGAAGGCAGGAGCCAGAGTTTTCTTCCTCCAGGTCTCCCACATGGGTACAGGGTCCCAAGGCTCTGGCCTGTTCTTGACTGCTTTCCCAGGTTATAAGTAGGGAGCTGGATGAGAAGCATGGCTGCTGGAATTAGAACCAGGGCTCATATGGGATCCCAGTATGTGCAAGGCGAGGACTTTAGCCGCTAGGCCAGGGTACCATCAGGCCCTTAAACAGCTTCCTAACTGCTGAAGTATAAATTCTTATCTCCTGAGTACTTTCTAAAACTTTTTAAAAGATTTATTTATTTGAAAGACATGGTGACATGGATAGAGCTAAAGATTTTCTGTCTATTGTTTTGTTTCCCAAATGGCAACAATGGCTAGGGATGGGCCAGGAGCCAAGAACTCCATCAGTCTGCCACATGGGTGACAGGCACTCAAGTACCTGGGCCATCGTGCTCTGCCTTTTCAGGTGTGTTTATTCACTGGAAGGTAGATTGGAAGTGGAGAAGCAAGGACTCCTAACAGGCACTTTAGTATGGGTTGTGGGCATCCCATGCAGTGGCTTGCTTTGCTGTGCCAGAAGTCCCACCCCTAATAACTTGTTCTGGTGTCTGCATCTGCAGCAAATTGTGGGCTGATTTTTCATACAGGTAAGAGACTAGGCTAAGAAACAATTTAAAGAGAATATCTGTAAATACTGAGTCACCAGCAACAATGTTTCTTATTCTAGTTAGGACATTCTTCTGCCCTGACTCAGGAGGAAGGTACTGCTTTAGACAGGTCTTCTGTCATTTCCTTCCAGTTCAAGGTAGACAATACCTATGTCAAATTGGGAGAGCATGACTCTTTTTTTTTTTTAAAGTTTATTTATTTTTATTACAAAGTGAGATATATAGAGAGGAGGAGAGACAGAGAGGAAGATTTTCCGTCCGATGATTCACTCCCCAAGTGACTGCAACAACTGGTGCTGCACCATTCCGAAGCCAGGAACCAGGAGCCTCTTCCGGGTCTCCCACATGGGTGCAGGGTCCCAAGGGTTTGGGCTGTCCTCGACTGCTTTCCTAGACCACAAGCAGGGAGCTGGATGGGAAGTGGAGCTGCTGGGATTAGAAACGGCGCCCATATGGGATCCCGGCATGTTCAAGGTGAGGACTTTAGCCAATAGGCCACACCGCTGGCCCAAGAGCATGGCTTTTTAAAAAGATACAATGTTTAAAATAATTTGCAAGCTCTTTTATATTAAATGATAAGTGCAGAGACTCATGAAACCTCTATCTATATAGCAGATAATTGGGTAATAAGAACAATTTTCCACCTTTGTTGTAATGTTATGAATAACTGTCAGGTCTTGAAAACAGAGCTTTTCCAAAGTCTGAATTTTCATGACTGATTTTGTCATTTTCACTTTTGTCCAGTGAGCAGTCCTACATGGAGAGTGTTGTGAATTTTCTACAGGATGTTGTGCCACAGGTGAGTTTCCATGTTTGATTACAGAGTGGTTTTAGCTTTGGTCAAAGGAACTCTTAATAATCTGGATTTTAAACTGGATACTAATGTCAGAGCAACTTGAGAAAGGCGTTTGATGTTTTGGCATCCCGAGCAATGAGAGGGTGGAATTTGTTATTGTGTAAGATGTGCCTAAGTTTTTGGCTTAACGGTGATGACAGTATTATTATGTCTGTACATTTGTTCTCCTCAAGGGAATCAAGGTGAGATGTTAGCTCAAATTTGTGGGACTTGTAGTCCTATGTTTGCATCCTGTATCAAATCCTTCTATTGTCTGTATTAAATATTACCTGTCAGAGGTGAGAAAAACCATTTATACTCTGATTATTGACATGAACTGCATAATTACACTTCTGCACAAATATCTTTTTTCAGTTTTTTATATCAAAAAGAATGTACCTTATTACTCTTATAAGAGGTTTTTTTTTTTTTTAAAGATTTATTTTTATTATTTTGTTATTGGAAAGGCGGATGTACAGAGAGGAGAGACAGAGAGGAAGATCTTCCATCCGATGATTCACTCCCCAAGTGAGCGCAACGGGTCGATACTACGCCGATCCGAAGCCAGGAGCCTCTTCCGGGTCTCCCACGCGGGTGCAGGTTCCCAAAGCTTTGGGCCGTCCTCTGCTGCTTTCCCAGGCCACAAGCAGGGAGCTGGAAGGGAAGCGGGGCTGCCGGGATTAGAACCGGCGCCCATATGGGATCCCGGGCGTGCAAGGCGAGGACCTTTAACCACTTGCGCCACCGCGCCGGGCCCAAGAGGTTTTTTTTTAATATTACTGTTTTATTTATTTGAAAGGCAGAGTTACAGAGGGAAAGGGAGATGGAGAGAGAGAAGATGGGAGAGATCTTCCATCTGCTTATTTGCTTAAACTCCATCCCGATTTCCCACATGGTACAAGGGCCCAATACCGTGTCCATCTTCCACTGATTTCCCAGGTACATTGTCAGGGAACTGGATTGAAGTGAAGCAGCCAGAACTCAGCTCGTATGGGATGCTGGCATTGTAGTTTGCCACTTAACCTGCTGTGCCACAGTGCTGGTCCTAACTTACAAGAGATGAAAACAGGGAGATCTTCCATCCACTAGTTCACCCTCCAGGTAGTCCACAAAATCCAGGGTGGAGCCAGGCCTGGAATCCAGGAGCCAGGAACTTCATCTAGGTGCTCCATGTTGGTGCAGGGGTCCAAGAACTTAGGCCATCATCCGTTGCTTTCTCAGGCACATTAGTAGGTAGCTGAATTGGAAGTGAAGTAGGCAGGAATTGAACTGGTTTGCCTGACAGATAGACAGAAACATCTAGAGATGTTGAGGTATCTTCCATTCACTGGTGCAATTTCTGCGCGCCTATAACAGATGGGGCTGGATCAGGCCAGAGCCAGGGTGTTGGAACTCAGGTTCTTGAGTCTTCACTTGATGCCTCTCAGGGTGCCCAGTGGCAGGAAGGAAGCTGGAATCAGAAGCACAGTCAGAACTGGAACCCAGTTCTGATGCAGCATCTGGCTGTCTCAAGAAAGCTGTCTCTGTGTAGCCAAATAGTTGCTTGGCAAAGAAATTACAATTTAACATTTTGTGCATTAGGTTTAAGTACTTTAGAAAGTGCAACATTGATAGTAGATTAGGCTTTGCATTCAGCTCTCTTGGGAGTTGAATCTTTCTAAAAACAATGTCTCTATGCCTAAAATAACATTAATTATTGTAGATTTGAGGCCTAAAGGATGTCGTATGTATATATCATAAGATAAAGCATATTTCAAGTTGTCTGGCTCAGAGGGAGTCTGATGAGACTAGAAATCCTGGGGCAGAGGAGGATTTATATCTGGCCCTCAGTTTTGAAATAATCAGAGGAACTGAAATGTTATTGTTTCTAATTACAATGGTAAGATATAGTCACTTAAAGTTACTTATTTGAAGGGCAGTTAGAGAGGTAGTCACTTTAGGAGCAACTGACTATGCTTTCGTTGGGAAACCAGTAACAGAAGTAATTTTGTCTCACTAGACATTTTGTTTTTGATTAATTGGATAAAAATAGGATTTTCTGACATTTTCTCCATGCATTGGATACAGAATTGCACATTAGTATTTTGTGATCAGCCTTTGTAAAAATGATATTTTCTACTGCTATTATGTTTGAGTCCTGCTCTGTTTCTGGAATCATCATTCCCAGGACCTAGGAATTACTCTGTTGCTCTTCACATATCCTCCTAGAGAGAGAATGAGTTGTTGTACTACATAGCAACTTCTTTATTTATCACCTATTGTATTAATTCTGTTTGGGTTCAGCTGATAGCACTGGAAGACTCTTAGAAAGCCCATAGTCATGCTCTGTGGTCTAAGAATTCCACTTAATGAACATCTATTTAAAAAGCTGAATGAACTGTTAAAGAGCGTTTTATTTTAGTATGTGTAAAATTTGCAGTTTTCATGTAAAAAATTGTGGCTATAAAAAATGTCAGTTGGGCCCGGCGCGGTGGCGCAAGTGGTTAAGTCCTCGCCTTGCACGCCCGGGATCCCATATGGGCGCCGGTTCTAATCCCGGCAGCCCCGCTTCCCTTCCAGCTCCCTGCCTGTGGCCCGGGAAAGCAGTCGAGGACGGCCCAAAAGCTTTGGGACCCTGCACCCGCGTGGGAGACCCAGAAGAGGCTCCTGGCTTCGGATCGGCACAGTATCGACCCGTTGCGCTCACTTGGGGAGTGAATCATCGGACGGAAGATCTTCCTCTCTGTCTCTCCTCTCTGTATATCCGCCTTTCCAATAAAAAATAATAAAAATAAATCTTAAAAAAAAAAAAAATGTCAGTTATACTTAAGCATGTGGTGATGTCATTGTCCCCAGAGAACAATGTAGTGTAATTCAAAGTTATACTCCTGGGCCCAGCACAGTAGTCTAGCAGCTAAAGTCCTTACCTTGCGTGCACTGGGATTTCATATGGGTGCCAGTTCTAATCCCAGCAGCTCTGCTTTCCATCCAACTTCCTGCCTGTGGTCTGGGAAAGCAGTGGAGAATGTTCCAAGGCCTTGGGACCCTGCACCCGCGTGTTATACCCTGAAGAGGCTTCTGGCTCCTGGCATCGATTGGCTAAGCTATGGCCATTGTGGCTGCTTGGGGAATGGATCATTGGATGGAAGATCTTCCTCTCTGTCTCTCTTCCTCTCTATGCATTTGCCTTTCCAATAAAAATATATATGCCTGATAGTAGCACATGATTGAAGTTACTTTTTTTATGCTTGTTTTCTTTTTTCTGTTAAGATTTATTTATTTATTTTTTATTGCGAAGTCAGATATACAGAGAGGAGGAGAGACAGAGAGGAAGATCTTCTGTCCGATGACTCATTCCCCAAGTGACTGCAATGGCCAGTGCTGCGCCGATCTGAAGCCTGGAGCCAGGAACTTCTTTCCGGTTCTCCCACGTGGGTGCAGGGTCCCAAGGCTTTGGGCCATCCTCCACTGCTTCCCAGGCCACAAGCAGGGAGCTGGATGGGAAGAGGGCTGCCGGGATTAGAACCGATGCCCATATGGGATCCTGGCGTGTTTAAGGCGAGGACTTTAGCTGTTAGGCTATGGTACCGGGCCCTCTGTTTGTTTTAAGACGTATTTATTTTCATTATTTTTCATTTCAAAGTCAGATATACAGAGAGGAGAAGAGATAGAGAGGAAGATCTTCTGTCCGATGATTCACTCCCTAAGTGACCACAGCGGCTGATGCCGCACTGATCTGAAGTCAAGAATCAGGAACCTCTTCCAGGTCTCACACGTGGGTGCAGGGTCCCAAAGCTTTGGGCCGTCCTCAACTGCCTTCCCAGGCCACAAGCAGGGAGCTGGATGGGAAGTGGAGCTGCCGGGATTAGAACCGGCACCCATATGGGATCCCGGCGTGTTCAAGGTGAGGACTTTAGCTGCTAGGCCACGCTGCCGGGCCCAAGACGTATTTATTTTTATTGGAAAGGCAGACTTAAATAAGAGGAGAAACAGATCTGCCATCTGCTGGTTCACTCCCCTAAGGGCCACAAGAGCCAGTGCTGGGCCAGTCTACAAACAGGAGCTAGGAGCCAGAAGCTTCTTCTGGAATTCCCTTGAGGGTTCATAGGCCCAAGGCCTTGGGCCATTGTCTGTTACTTTCTTAGGCTATAAACAGGAAGTTATGTCAGAGTTGGAGCAGCCAGGACATGAACCAGCATCATATGGGATGCCGGCGCTTTCAGACAGAAGATTAACTGTAATGCTGACCCCTAGAATTTGCTTTTTTTTGTCTTTTTTTAAACAGTAAAATATAAATTAGGAGCTGCAGAGAAAGATGCCTATAGTCTTTGTAGCCATTTCTGGAAGTAACAGTGTTTATGACTGTGTATTTGTGTGTTAAGAAGCTGGATTAGGTATAAAAGACGTAAGTCTTGTCAGTAATGGGAAATGAATTGGGACCCGGCACTGTGGCCTAGTGGCTAATGTCCTCACCTTGCACATGACAGGATCCCATATGGGCACCGGTTCTAATACTGGCAGCCCCGCTTCCCAACCAGCTCCCTGCTTGTGGCCTGGGAAGGCAGTCGAGGACAGCCCAAAGCCTTGGGACCCTGCATCCATGTGGGAGACCCAGAAGAGCTCCTAGCTCCTGGCTTTGGATGGGCTCAGTTCTGGCCATTGTGGTCACTTGAGGAGTGAATCATTGGATGGAAGATCTTCCTCTCTGTCTCTCCTCCTCTGTGTATATCTGACTTTGCAGTAAAAATAAATAAAACTTAAAAAAAAAAAGAATTTTGAATCTGATCTAGAAGGCTAGATCCAATGGCAAGGTGGGGTTATAATCAGTGCTGAGGTAAGCACAAATTCGTGTGGCAGTGCATGGTCCTCCATAAAACAGCATGTGGGACCCAGCAGAGTGCCCTATCTGCTTAAATCCTTGCCTTGAATATGCCAGGATCCCATATGGGCGCCGGTTCTAATCCTGGCAGCTCCACTTCCCATCCAGCTTGTGGCCTGAAGAAGCAGTGGAGGACGGCCCAAAGCTTTGGGACCCTGCATGCACGTGTGGGAGACCTGGAAGAGGTTCTGGGGTCCTGGCTTCGGGTCGGCATAGCATCAGCCGTTGTGGTCACTTGGGGAGTGAATCATTGGACAGGGCTCTTTCCCTCTGTCTCTCCTCCTCTCTGAATATCTGACTTTGAAATAAAAATAAAATGTTTTTTTTTAAAGATTTATTTATTTATTGGAAAGTCAGATATACAGAGAGGAGGAGAGACAGAGAGGAAGCTCTTCGGTCCGATGATTCACTCCCCTAGTGAGCGCAATGGCTGATGCTATGCCGATCACAAGCCAGTATCAGGAGCTTCTTCCGGGTCTCCCACGCAGGTGCAGGGTCCCAAGGCTTTGGGCCGTCGTTGACTGCTTTCCCAGGCCACAAGCAGGGAGCTGGAAGGGAAGTGGAGCTGCCAGGATTAGTACCGGCGCCCATATGGAATCCCGGTGTGTTCAAGGCGAGGACGTTAGCTGCTAGGCCATGCTGCCGGGCCCTAAAAATAAAATCTTAAAAGAAAAATAAGACCGCATGTGAGGACCCTGTGGTCTGTGGATAAGAGTGTCTCATTGAGAATAAAGCATGTGAATGGAGGAAAAGTGGATCATAACTTGAGAGAATGATGCCCAGTACTGATTTTTGAGCAATCCTATAGGAATGTATGCCAGAGGCGATTCTCATGTTCCTAGTCAGCGTCACAATTTGTTCAAAACTTCTTGCCAAAAGAGCACAGAATTTACTAAGAAGCAAGGTAAATAAAGTGACAAAGGAAAAAGCCTGGTTAGTGGAAGCCTTTTACCAACTATGGGGAAGGCAAGAGTTTCAGTGATGCTGGTGCATGGAGGGTTCCCTTTGATGCCAGCTGTTCCGCCTGGAACATCGAAGCAGAGCCTCTGGGAGAAGATGCACCACAGTAGAGATAATGTTGAATGATGCTGTGCCTGGGAAAGAGTGAAAATAAGTCTGCTCCCTTGTCAATAGTTTTAGACCTGTTCCTGAATTACCATATTGAAGGAAAGCCTGCCAGGAGAAAGAAATTGTCCTAAATGTGGTATGGTATTCCAGATTAAATCTTGGAGCAGAGATTTGACAGTAGCAGACAAACTTGTGAAATCTAAAAGTTAGAGTCAATTGATTTTGGTGCCTAATATTAGTTTCATAGTTCTGACAGATGAATTGTGGCCAGGCAAGATTTGATGACATAATTGAGGTTAGGATGAGCTGGTTGAGGAGAAATATAAGTTCTCATCTCTGTGTTTACTAACTTAAAATTATTCAATGAAGTGCAAATTTCCTTTTCTCGATGTCCTACACAAACACAGTGTTTTTTTTTTTTTTTTTTTAAACCAAGATAATTGGAGTTGGTGCTGTGGTATATCAAACAAAACCTCTGCCTGTGGTGCCAGCTTCCCAAAAGGACACCAGTTTGAACCCACTGTTCTGCTTCTAATCCATCTCCCTGCTTGTGGCTTGGGAAGGCAACAGAGGAGGCCCAAGACCTTGGACCTTTGTACCCATGAGGGGTACCTGGAAGAATCTCCCAGCTCCCAGCTTTGAACTGGCCCAGCTGATTTGGGAGTTGAACCAGCCGAAGATCTTTCTCTCTCTGTAACTCTTTCTGGCTTTTAAGTAAAATAAATCTTTTTTTTTTTCTTTTTTTTTTTAAGATTTATTTTTATTATTTTTTTTTAATTGGAAAGGCGGATATACAGAGAGGAGAGACAGAGAGGAAGACCTTCCGTCCAATGATTCACTCCCCAAGTGAGCACAACGGCCGATGCTATGCCGGTCGGAAGCCAGGAGCCTCTTTCAGGTCTCCCACGCGGGTGCAGGGTCCCAAAGCTTTGGGCCGTCCTCGACTGCTTTCCCGGGCCACAGGCAGGGAGCTGGAAGGGAAGCGGGGTCGCTGGGATTAGAACCGGCGCCCATATGGGATCCCGGGCGTGCAAGGCGAGGACCTTAACCACTTGCGCCACCGCGCCAGGCCCAGTAAAATAAATCTTAAAAAAAAAAAAACAAGATAATTGAAATTATATGGTTATCTAAGGTCGTTATTTTTTGGTATAGTAAGTCTGGTTTTTTTAAATTAATTATTATTTTTTTATTATATGACACAGTTTTATAGGTACTGGTACTGGGATTCCCATTACCCCTCCCAAAACCCTCCCCCCCATGGTAGATTCCTCCACCATGTTGCATGACTCAGTTCAAGTTCAGTTGAGATTCCTTCATTGCTAGCATATACCAAGCATTGTGATCCTCATATTATTGCCCAGATAAGTTCAACGGCTTTTTGGAGAGACCTTCTCTAGTCTGAAGGTAGAGCCAACAGAGTAAACCCAATCAATCAAAAGCCCCAACATTGACATTTCCCCATATAAGGTACATAACCGTGATAGGAGGGGTGAGCAGAGAAATCTTCAGCATCTTGGTGAGGAGTCCTTGTTCTGTGTCCTACCTAGCAAAGTATGTTTGAGTCTATACTGACCAAGCTTTCCTTGTTGTTCTCTGTGGTATAGTAAGTCTGTTATGGAAGTACCCCATCTTAGTGTTTTGCTTATTTTTAAAAAAGAGTTATTTATTTCAAAGGCACAGAGAAAGGTATTTTACAGATTTCTTTATTTAGTTCAAAGTTAGACTTATAGAGAGACATAGAGATCTTCCATCCAATGGTGCATTTTCCAAATGGTTACAAAAGCTGGGATCAAGCCAGTCCAGGAGCCATGGTCTCCATTTGGGTCTCCCACATGGCACGGGCTTATCTTGGACCATCTTGCACTGTTTTCCCAGAAGCATTATCAGGGAGACAGAGAGAAAGTGGAGCTGCTGCAGCTCAAACTTGCTCTCATATAGGATACTTGATATTACAGGCAGTGGCTTAATTTGCTATACCTAAATGATTGTCCCTGAGAGTGGTCAGTGAGGGATGAACCAGGAAGCATCCAGGATCCAGAAAACTTTGAGTCTCCCAAGTCTTCAAGGTAGCAGGAGCCCAAGTATTTGGACCATCATCTGTTGCTTCGCAGTCATGTTAGCAGGAAGCAGATGATCCAAGATTTGAGCTGACATTTTGTTATGGGGTGTAGGTAGGCATCTAAGCAGCAGCTTAAGTGGTTGCTTCACATTGCCCCCTCCCCCAACTGCCACCAGGCCCCAATTAGTGGTATTTAAAATAAACTTTTTATATGAACATGAGAGCTAGAGGTAGAGCAGTATTCCATTTGCTGGTACACTCCCAAAATCACTAAATTAGGACCCAGGAATTCCATCCCGGTGTCCCACATGAGTGGCAGTTGCCCAAGCACTTTGGCCCTACTTTGGTGCCTTCCCAGGTGCATTAGCAGGAAGTTGGATTTGGGAACACAGCAGTTAGAACACAGATTGGTGCCCAAATGTGAGATTTGAATGTCCCAATCCTCAGCTTAAGCTGTTGTGCCAGTGTCTGGATAATCTTGTATGCTTTTTTTTTTCCACATAAATTTTATCTGCAAAGTGAACAAGTAAATGTAAAAAGAAGGAAGGGGAGAGCACCTTCTGGGAGGGATCCAGGAGTTGGGGTGTCTCCAGAAAGGAGGGATATTTAAGATAGTTGTATATGCTTTTAATATACATTGTATTAGATAATTGTTCTGCAAATTGAATGCCATTTTATTTTTCCAAAAGTGTAACTGTTAATGCTCTTAAGGCTTCAGAGTATATACAAATTATAAAAAAATTCTAAATAAAACCATATGCATTATGTAGTGATGCCTCTTTTTGAATATTAAGTAATACTGTTGACACTCCAGCATTAATGCATATCTTTGTCACCCTTGTGGGCTACTGGTAAGTTGGGTCTGAACATTAGATAAGAGACTGAAAAAGCAAGACTCCTGTAAGTGTCTTTGTATAGTTGCCTGATCACAAGCATCTAGGAACTAAGCAGGATGGGGGTGGTAGTTTTGCCTTAAGCTGCCTTATTTGTGAATCAGTGTAGGGTGTGGTTTAGTTTTTGTGCGCCTTTGAACAATAGTGATTCTTCATTATGGATTGAGATCAAGTATTGGAAGTTTCTGCAGCTCTTTAAAGGTTGAAGTTTATTTTTTTTGTCTGAGATTATCAGAATTTTTCATAACATTCTTTGGAACACATACTGCTACAGTATGAGCATGTAATGAGGATGTAGGGTTGGTGAGGTTCAACAGGTATAGCGTAAGTTTTACCATTCTTTGCTGTGAACATCAGTATTAGAGTATAAAATATTTGTATTAAAATATTCCTGTTTACTCTGCAGGCTTACAGTGGAACACCTGTAACAGAAGAAAAGGAGAAGATTGTTTGGGTCAGATTTGAAAATGCAGATTTAAATGGTATGGTTTTAGCTTCTTTTTGAATGTATGAATTAGTGCTCGCTTCAGCAGCACATATGCTAAAATTGGAATGAATGTATGAATTAAATGTTTGGCATTGACTTGATTCCAGGTTGGCTTTACCTTTACTTTGGTCAGATTATTTGCTCTTACAGTAACTATAGTTTTCAGAATAAAAAAAAGTTTAAGGATTTATTTATTTTTATTGGAAAGTGATATATACAGAGACGAGGAGAGAAAAAGAGGATCTTCTGTCCATTGATTCACTCCCGAAGTGGCTGCAATGGCTGGAGCTGTGCTGATCCAAAGCCAGGGGCAGGAGCCTCTTCCAAGTCTCCCACATAGGTGCAGGATCCCAAGACTTTGGGCCATCCTCGACTGCTTTCCCAGGCCATAGGCAGGTATAGCTGGATTGGAAGCAGGGCTGCTGGGATTAGTACCAGCAGCCATATGGGATCCCAGACGTGTGCAAGATGAGGCGACTGCACTGGGCCTAGAGTAAATTTTTTTAAGAGTTATTTATTTTTATTGGAAAGTTAGATATACAGAGAGAAGGAGAGATATGATGATTTTCTGTTCGCTGATTCATTCCCCAAGTGGCCACAATGGCTGGAGCTGGGCTGATTTGAAGCCTGAAGCCAGGATTTTCTTCCAGGTCTCCCACAAGGGTGCTTTCCTAGGCCATAGTCAGGGAACTGGATGGGAAGTGGAGCACCTGGGACATGAGCTGGTGACAATATGGGATCCCAGTGCTTTGCAAGGGGTGGATTAGCCAATTGAACCATCATGCCAAGATCCAAAGTTTTCTTCTTCCTTTTATTTTTTGCTTTTTACTAGCACCTAAGAATTGCTGGGGGTAATATTTCATAAAGACTTTGGTTTTATTAAGTAAAAATATATCTGTGCATGTAGAAGAGTCCTTCTTCAAAATTACCTTATTATTGTTTGAACTTATTAGCATCCTTAATGTAAGATCGTTATTCAAATTGATTTATTAAACTCTTAAATTTATTTAGTTTTATTATTTTTTAAGATTTTGTTTATTTTTATTGGAAAGTCAGAATTACAGAGAGGAGTGACAGAAAGATCTTCTGTCCACTGTTTCATTCCCCAAGTGTCCACAGCTAGAGCTGAGCTGATCCAAAGCCAGGAGCCAGGAACCTCTTCCAGGTCTCCCACGTGGGTGCAGGGTCCCAAGGCTTTGGGCTATCCTTAATTGCTTTTCCAGGCCACAAGCAGGGAGCTGGATGGGAAGTGGAGCAGTTGGAATTTGAACCGGTGCCCATATGGGATCCCGGTGGATATAAGGTGAGAACTTTACCCACCAGGTTACCACGCTGGGTCCAAACTCTTAAATTTGTACATTTTCCTATCCAAGCACATTCCCATTCCTGTTCTTGTCTTGTTTTATTCTGAGTCATATTATGTGAGGGTTTGGCCTTCTGTTTTTGTGGGTATACTGTTACAATGGTTACCAATTGAGGCTGTCCAGTGGCTGTTGAAAGTATTGACTAGAGCAGTCAGAGTGAACTGAGTTAGTGAACATATTGTAAGGAAACAGCAGACAGGCAGGACAGATAAATGGTGACTTGCCTTTAGACACTGCAAGGCAGCAGCGGACTGGATAGCTGGAGTCTTTCTACTCCAACATAGGCTATAGCTTGAAATGTATGCTTGCAACAGCAATCTCAGTTATGTTGAGCTTCCCCATGATCCTACATGCTTTTCCTTGTAGGTAGTTTGTTTTTCCAGGCAAAATCCAGAAGTCTGTGTACCTTATCTGAACCTACACCCATAACTTTGGTATTTTCCTAGTGTCCTGGAGCACTGATACTTATTATGTTTGGCATTTAGCAAAGGTCTCATCTTCCAGATACACTTCTTGGTGGTCCTCCCGAATTGGTCCGGCAGAGACCCAGCAGGTGGTGGAGCCTTAGAGCAGAGGGTTAATCTATTCCAGAATTGTTTGTCCACCCTGTTTTGGAACTGTAGGATGTTTAATGTGGAGAAATACGATGTTGAAGGGGTTGGTATCTTATTTGCAGTCCATTTGGAAATGAATTTGTTGCCTTCTAGAGGAGAAAGACTGAATTAGTTTGCGGTGTACATGCAAGCTATTGACTGCTGTAGCGTGGGCCACAATCTTTTTTTTTTTTTAATATAAAGAGTTATTTATTTTTATTACAAAGGTAGATTTATAGAGAGAAGTAGAGACAGAGAGAAAGATCTTCCATCTGCCGATTTGCTCCACCAATGACCGCAGTGGCTTGAGCTGTGCTGATCTGAAGCCAGGAGCCTTTTCTGGACCTTCCACATGGGTACAGGGTCCCTAGGCTTTAGGTCATGTCCACTGCATTTACAGGCCATAAGCTGGCAGTTGGATGGGAAGTGGAACATCCAGAGCATGAAATGGCACCCATGTGGCATGCTAATCTTGCAGGCAGAGGACTAGCCAATTGAGCTATTGTTTTGGGCCCCAGTATAAAAGGAGTTCTTGTAACCATGACTTATCTATCACCCCCAGAGGTTTCCCCAGGTGGATGATGTGCATTTCTGGGTGGGGCTGAGGAGCCTGCACTGTCCTTAACTTTTGGAATTTCTTCATGCCTCCACATAATGCTTTTTGTTTTGTCTGACCCTAATAGTGTGCATGTATCTGTGGGTGTGTATCTGTATATTTTAAGGCGTATTTGACCAGGTTTGATCCATTTATGTACCTAATCACTTATAACTGGTTGAGTTTCTCTCTATGTATTCTTTGTTCAAGAATGTCTGTGTGACAAACCGTGAGATATTCACAAGGTAGTGAAAATTAAAGTATGGGAAAGGGAAAGTAGGGTTCATTCGTGGACTGCCTGCCCCTTTAGCCTCTCTGTGTCTCAATTCTCTGGGCTGGAATTTTTTGGCCTTTCCTTCCCTTGTTGTGCCTGTTGCACCTTAGATACAGTTCCTTGTGGTGTCCAGCGAGATGCTAGAGAAAACTCTTCTGATCATGGTTGTGCTCAGTTTACTTTCTTCATGGTGCGGCAGTTAGGGGTACCTCGAGATTGTATTAGGTATTGAGGCTGTTCTTTGCAGGACATGGAATTTTTCAGGGAAAATACTTTAGAAGCCTCACTGTAGTTCCAAGCTATTCTTTATTATTTAAAGCAGCTACTTTGCTTCTGTTCCACTTTCCTGCTAATGTGCCTCCCAGGATTTTTCATTTAACATATGTCCTGATGTTTACCCATGTTGCTGCATGTCAGAATTCCCTTTTTAAGGATGAATAATATTCCATTGTATGAAATGCCAGCTTTTGTTTACCCATTATTTTCTCAGTGGACATTTGGATTTCTTCCATGTCTTGGCTAGTGTGAAGTAATGTGGCTGTGAACATGAGCATACAAATGTCTCTTTGTGTTCCTGTTTTTAATTCAGTTAGGCCCAGAAGTAGAATTGCTTGCTTATATTGTGATTCAATTTTTTAATTTATCGAGGAACCATCTCTTGTTCTCTGTAGAGAAATCTAAAAAAATTTACTCATACCTGTGAAGGATAAGCACTTAATTTGTCTATGCTCTCTCCTCTCTTGTCATTACTTGCCTCTACATGTTTGCTGCACTCTGGCTTCTTTTAGGAGTTTGAGCAGTGGTTACTCAAGACTTTTTTCATTTATGATTACACCATGTGATCAAAGAAGAGAAAGTATTCATTAGGAGATCTAGATGGCTGAGTCTGGGTCACTTTCCCATTTTTGGAATAGTTTGTGACCATGGCTATAGTCCTAGCATTATCTCAGTTTGTCATGTGATGGTCCTTGTGCTTGAGGGAAAATAATAGCTAATAGTTACAGGATAGGGACAGAAGAGAAAGTGAGTGAGGCACATGAAGATAATGGTTGCAGTGGTGAATCTACATTTTTTTGCTATCTCTTAGACATTCCATTGGTGCCTCAAAAACTAAGTTCTCCACCCATTTCACTATCTCAGTTTAACAGCTATGTCCCAACCCTACTTATCTTTGAGATTATTAAAGACACAAAACTTACCATGTGTTAGGGTCTTCACTCAGTAGACTTCTGGCTTCGATGTTTATACCACTATCTTCATTTACTACTACTACTATTCACTAAAATGACAGTGTACAATACATTTTATTTTTATATATGTTTGCTATTCAGATAGTTGACGAGAATGCAGGCCCATGAGGACCACTGAATAGGATGGGGAGGGTCAAGATATGAGGGAAGGTAGGTAGGACAAATGCTTCCAATTTACCTTTTCTTTTTCTTTTTGTCCTCTCTCCTCTCTCTCCTCTCTCCTTTCTCCTCTCCTCTCCTCTCCTCTCCTCTTCTCTTCTCCAATTTTTCCGGGAGGGAGACACTCCCAACTGTCAAACTATACCACTACCTGGGGTAAAACACATTCTCTATGCTGGATATAGGTAATATGGTTCTGCTTTTAGTATGCATACAGAATACAGAGGAAGCAGGTTTGGGAGGAAAGATTCAATTTTGCTTTACACTCAACCTTTTTTACTTTAAATATTTGCTTATTTGGAAGGTAGGGTTACATAGAGAGAGAGGAGGGACAGAGAGAAATATCTTACATCTGCTGGTTTATTCCCCACATGACTGCAGTGGCCTAGAGCTGTGCTAGACTGAAGCCAGGAGACAAGAGTTTAATTTGAGTCTGCCACGTGAGTGCAAGGGCTCAAGCACTAGGGCTGTCCTCTGTTGTTTTTCTTAGGCCATTATCAGGGAGCTGGATTGGGAGTGGAGCAGCTGAGACTTGAACTGGTTCCTGTAAGGTATCACTGGGATCACAGGCTGTGGCTTAACTCCTCACATCATAATGACAAACCCTACACTTCCACTTTGAAGGTTTGAGGAGAAATACCAGGTCCCTGTCCTCTTTCTACAATTGCCATTTTCTAAGGAGGGAGAATGCCATCACTTGAGTATTGATTGCAGTAATGAGCGTAGCATTACAGATAAGGCTGAACAGGGTTTCCAAGAATGGGTGAGTTATAGGAGGAAAGAATATTGTAGTTAGCTAAATTTACAGCTAAGCCTGAAGTCATTTATAGAGCTTGAATAAGAGGAAAAAAAGGAAAAAACCTTGAAGAAGATAAAGAACATGCCTGGATAGAATTCAGTGGTAATTCAGTGGTGATATGATGTAGGATATGAGAACAAATGTAAAAGCAGGAGGATTATTTGACCCTGTCATAAATCATGACTTTTAAGAATAATACAAACATTTAAAAATTGTTTTACTGAAACAAAGAGAGAGAGAAATCTTTTGAGGTACTGTTGTTCAGGGTAAGTGACTAAGCAGAATCTAAAACAACAATGTAAAAATTCTAGATGATTATACTTGATATTTCTATTTAGTGAAATTTGGCAAAATATTTCATTTTTAAAATTGCTTTCAGATGATTTTATCACAGATATTTCTGATCCCTGATTGTCTAATGAGATTGAGCTTTAGAACCTGCTTGTGCTAATAATTATAGGTTCTGTTTGTATTTTCGTTTTTTAAAAGCTGCTAGTGGTGAGGATGCCTGCATTCTATATTAGAGTACCCAAGTTCAAGTCCTGAATATGTTTCTGATTCTAGCAACTGGCAAGGTGTACCCTGAGAGGCAGCAGGTGGTGGCTCAAGTACTAGCTGTTGTGAATTTTTGAGTGTGAACTACCATAGTAAAGAGCTCTCTGTTTCAGGCTAAACCTTTCAAATAAAATAAAAATAAAAGTTTTAAAGAAAATCTACAAATTTTTGTCATTTCAGCTTTCTTTTCATTTTCTTTTAAATGTCTTCCACTTATACATGTTTTCAAATTGAAAAACAGTTTAAGCAGTTGTTACCCTAATACCACTAAAGAAGTATAGTTATTTTCTTGATTGACACATTTTTAAAATTTGCTTTTTAATTGTGACATAGATACATCACGAAATCTGGAGTTTCAGGAAATACATACGACTGGAAATGAGCCACCTTTGTTGATTATGATCGGCTACAGTGATGGATTGCAGGTCTGGAGCATCCCTGTAAGTATGACAGTGGTTCAATCTCTGTCCCAACTCTCCTGGAGGTTGGCTGCTGGGAGACTGTTGTATGTGCACTAGCCTAAGTAGGTGTTGGCGGTGACGGGGTCAGGGATGAATACTCTGCGTGATTAGTAAAGTGGTTCAGGAATCCTGCACATCACGTTTGTGCAAGATCTTGGTATTTCTCTTGGTAATTTTTTAAAGTGTGAATTATTATTTCTGTTTTACAGAAAGTAAACTGAAGCTTATGAGGCTTTTTTTTTTTTGGTTGCTTTTAATAGCAGCCAGTAGCAGTTTGTTAGTATTCTGATTCAGTTGCAACAATTATGTGGTAGAAAATCTAAAAAGTACAGATATGAAAAAAAACCTTCCTTCTACTCTTTTTCCATGTTTCCTCTGCTTTGAGACAACTTTGATTTCTAGTTTTTGTTACATTCTTACAGATTTCTTTTATGAAAATAAAAGGAGTACAAATATAAGCCCCAAGTTTTGGTCTTGGTCTGAATCTTGCTTTTTTTTTTTTGTTGTTGTTGTTCATTTAGTGTTTGGAGAATTTCTTCATCAACTTTGATAGCTGCATAGTAATTCTTTTTGAATTTTCCTGATGTTATTAGTTTCTTATTTATGTAAACACTTTTATTTTTAATATATTGGGAAGAGTGACACAAATTGGGAAAGACAAAAGAGAGATCTGTCTGTTGGCTCACTCCCACTAATGGGTGGGGCTGACCCAGATTACAGGCTTGCACCTAGGGTCCTATCCAGGTCTCCCTTATGGCAACAGAGGTGGCAGGGGCAGGAGTACTCTGGCTGTCGTCCACCTCCTTCCCCAGCACAGCAGCAGGGAGCTGGATTGAACAGAAAAGAGCAAGGCCTTGAAGCAGTGCTCTGATATGGGCTAAGCAGTGGCTTAACCTGATGTGCTGTGTTGCTGACTTGCTTGTGAAAACTGTAAATGTCCAAATTTTTGTTTTATACTTAAAAAAAGATATAATGGGTGAACATGAACAACATGGTTTCATGTCTGTGTCTGTATGGGATAATATTCCATCAGTGGGTTTTAAAAGAAAGAATTATTTATTTGTTTGTGAGAGCTAGAGCGGGGGAAACAGAGCTTCTACCCATGGATACATTTCTAGATGATTGCAACAGCCAGGTCTGGGCCAGGCCCGGAGCTAAGGAGCTTTATCCTGGCCTCCCATGTGGGCGGTAGGGCCCAAATAATTGGGCCGTATTCTGCTGTTTTTCCCAGGCCATTATCAAGGGAGATTGGTTGGACGTGGTATAGTGGAACTTGAACCAGCTTCTGTAGAATTCTGACAGAGTCAAAATCTCAGTGCATTTGTAAGTGTTTTGCACTGTGTAGTATCAGTACTAGATTGCCTATTTATCTATTCCTACATGTACTCCTTGGGGTGACCAAAATTAAAAGTTTTTAAAAGAAATTGAAGCTTTGTAGCATCAGTAGGTGAGGTTTAGTACTGACTGCATTTTGGCTTGCTTACTGTAAGTTCATGGGATTGATAAATACTTTTTAGTAGATGAGTGGATTTTTGTTTTACAGTAATTTTGCATTTGGAGGTTCTGGGCCAACAGAATGTGAATTTGCACATTTAATAAATTTGTCCACCAAACTACTTTGAAGCCCCTTGAGTTTGTCTTTCAGCCTGATCTTTTTTCTTTCTTTTTTCATTTCTTTTTTTATTTTTTGTTGGATATATGATTTCTCCTTAAGGTTTCCAAGCAAATATACTACTTTGTGTTTAATGGATGTTAGGATATTCTCAAGTATTGATTTTGTCTTCTCAAGTGGCATAGGGATTGTTATTACTAATTTTAAAAAGATTTATTTATTTTTCTGGGAAAGACGGATTTGTAGAGAGAAAGGAGAGACAGAGAAAAATCTTCTATCTGCTAATCACTCTCAAAGCAGCCTCAAGCCCTGGAGCTGAGCCAGTCCAAGGCCAGGAGCCAGAAGTTTCTTTTGAGTCTCCCATTCAGGATCATAAGGTTTTGGGCCATCCTCGATTGCTTCCCCAGGCTACAACAAGGAGCTGAAGGGGAAGTGGAGCAGCTAGGACATGAACCAGTGCCCATGTGAGATCCCAGTGCATGCTAGGTGAGGATTTAGTTGCTGGGCCATTGCACTGGACCTGTTATTACTTTTTATAAACAGTCTTCTAAAATGTATCTATCAGCATTCTTTTTTCATATATAAATGTGTGTGTATATACACATATATTTATTTGAAAGGCAGAGTGGCAGAGAGATACACACATGTAAAAACTAAGAGATGTCTTTTGGCCACTGGTTCAGTCTGCAAGTGTTCACAAGAGCTGGGGATTGACCAGGCTGAAATAAGCAGCAAGGAACTCCATCTTGGTCTCCAGTGTGAGAGATGGTAGGAATTGAAGTATTTGGACCATCATTTATTGCCTTCCCGGGCACTTTAACAAGTGTGGTCCGCAGAGTTAGTCTCCTCAAGGAACTGTTGAATTTAGCTGGGTAAAAAGATACTGGACTCTATGCAAGGCACATGCTTGCCTTGAAAGAAATAAGACTAGATTTGATCTGTAATACTGCAATAAGGTGGAGCAATCCACCATGGGGGGAGGGCAAGAGGAGGGGAAGGGGGAACATCAGAGCCTATGAAATGTTGTTATAAAATTAAATGCAATAAAAAACAAAACAAAACAAAACAAAAAAAAAAACAAGTGTGATCCGGGTCATGATAGCCAGGACATGAACTGATACTCCAATTTAGTATGTAAGTGTCTCAATTGGTGTTTTAACGTGCTGTGGCGTAATGCCTGCCCCAGACCTGTTTTATTTTTTTAATTAATTTATTTTTATTGGAAAGTCAGATATACAGAGGAGAGGCAGAGAGGAAAATCTCCCGTCCCATGATTCGCTCCCCAAGTGACCGCAATGGCTGGAGCTGTGCTGATCCAAAGCCAGGAGCCGGGAGTTTATTCTGGGTATCCCACACGGGTGCAGGGTCCCTAGGCTTTGGGCCATCCTTGATTGCTTTCCCAGGCCACAGACAGGGAGCTGGATGGGAAGTGGGGCTGCTGGATTAGAACTGGTGCCCATATGGGATCCCAGTGCGTGCAAGGTGAGGACTTTAGCCACTAAGTCACTGTGCTGGGCCCAGAACTGTTTTTAGACGCTTGAACTTGGATATATTTTCTTTTTTTTTTTTTAAAGATTTATTTATTTATTGGAAAGTCAGATATACAGAGAGGAGGAGAGACAGAGAGGAAGATCCGTCCGATGATTCACTCCCCAAGTGAGCACAACGGCCGATGCTATGCAGATCCGAAGCCAGGATCCAGGAACTTCTTCTGGGTATTCCACAAGGGTTTAGGGTCCCAAAGCTTTGGACTGTCCTCGACTGCTTTCCCAGGCCACAAGCAGGGAGCTGGATGGGAAGTGGAGCTGCCAGGATTAGAACCCAGCGTCCATATGGAATCCCGGTGCATTCAAGGCGAGGACTTTAGCCGCTAGGCCATGCCGCCGGGCCCAAACTTGGATATATTTTTCAGAGCCTGGAATTAGAAGTATTCTGTCTCTTGTCTTTGGATGTATGTAGTTGATGTTTTCCAGGGCTTAGGAAGCCTTTTCTTTCTTTTCTTTTCTTTCTTTGTTTCTTTGTTTCTTTCTTTCTTTCATTCTCTCTCTCTCTCTCCTCTTTTTCTTTTAATTTATCATCCTAAAGGCATGGAGAAATGAGAACCTGGAGTGTTATTTGTTAAATCTTTTAAGATTATATGCTTTAAGGTAGTGTTCAGAGGTAAGGATTTTGTTTGCGTTTTTTGGTTTGTTTTTGTTTTTTTTTTAATTAAGAGGGGCTACCTTTTCTCCATTATGCGGTTTAACAAAATTGAATGCAGAGTCTGAACTCCAGCTTTCAAGACTGACCTTGTGAGATTAGATGTCTGGACTGGATGGAACACATTCCTTTAATTGGAACTCGGGTTGCTTTCTTTAACTGCTACTTGGCTTTGGTTATAATTAGAGGTAATATTTTTAATAGTGTTAGAATTATTTATCTCTATTTTAAAGGTCTTTATTCTTCCTTATGTTAAAGTAGTTCATTTTTTTTTTAAAGTATATTTATCTGTTTGAAGCATAGACATACATGGAGAGAAGGCAAGACCAAAAAAGAGCTTTCATCTGCTGGTTTACTTCCCAGTGGCTGCAGTAGCAAGGCTGAAGCCAGGAGCCAGGAGTTCCATTTGGTTCTGCCCTGTGAATGGTAGGGAACCAAGAACTTGGGCCATCATCCCTCATATCCTAGGTGAAGTAAGCAGGGTGGCACTAATGTGAACTGGTGCTCTGATACTGAATGAGGTGTCCCAAATGTGATGGCTTAACATACTGTGCCATGATGCCTGTCCCTCAAAATCTCCTTGATGAGATTTTGACTGATTCTTTATTGGCAGTAGTATATTCCTGTGACTACTGCTTCAAAAGTTAGCAGGTTGGGGCCAATGTTTTGGTATAGTGATGCAAACCATAGCAGGCAATGCTATCCCATGCGTGTGCTGGTTCATGTCCTGACTGTCCCACTTCTGTTCCAACTAATGTGCCTGGGAAAAGCAAATGCTTGGGCCCCTGCACGCATGAGAGACCCAAATGAAGCTCCTGGCTTCAGCCTGACCTGCCCCAGCTGGTACAGCCGTTTTGGGAGTGAACAGTGGATGGAAAAACTCTCTGCAACTCTGCCTTACAAATAAAAAAAAATTTTTTTTAAAGAGGAAGTTGTCTGGGACAAGAAGTTTCTGTCCCAGTGACTCAGCTCTTAGTATAATCAGAGAGGTATATATACACATAATCTCATGTAAGGACACTGTAATATAGAAATTACAGTATTAACTGTGGCTGAAGTTGTAGCACAAAAGGGGTAAGCCACTGCTGAGAGCCAGTAACGTGGACACGGCAAGGGTCTGGGGATGAGGCACCCACAAGAGACCAGTGATGATGGAAGTCTCTCCGAA